TTTCCCAACCATGAAAGACATAAAAATGAAGTTCAAAGGTCATTGCAAAGTTACCGGAAAGGGCTCTATGGTGCAAGGGGCCGTCCGTAATTATCGATCTTTTCATGAAGAGAAAAAAAGTTTCATATACCGTAAAGTACCGCCAGAGCGCCCCGTCTCGCGAGAGCGCCCCACCTTGATTTTACAGCCAGGGAAAGGAAAATCGTATGGCAGAGTGCAACGAAGTTTGTACGATGTGAGAACCTTAGTGTACTAAGGGCACACTTGGCAGGTTTTTGTGTGGAGCTTGTGTCCGCTCGAAGGTACGGATTGACTGCAAAATGTGGAATATGTGTACAAGGTTCATGTCGTATGACCTACAGACAGCAGACCACCTCCACAATACGACCACGAAAGGACGAGATGGTGGGGCGCTCTGGCGGTACTTTACGGTATAGGTGGGTGGGTTGAGGAGAGTTTCATTTTGAAAATTAGTGATAGGTGAAACATCAATCAATTCTAGCTGTCAAGTCAATATATTTTTCGTTGAAGGGGGTGGGTGTTTGGGGGAGGGTCATAGCTAAACTTTTTCGTTCCGTGAAAATTATCTATAATGCCGGATGGCCCCTTAGTCTGAATGCAGGCTTGGGGGAAAGTTGCTGCGTAGGTTTTTAAGCAACTTTGTACTGGATGTGTTCTATATGCGTACTGAAGCCTTGAAGATACTGTGTTGCTTGCAACCGCCCATGTGTGTACTACATGTGTGTACTATGTTTTTCGATTTTGACAGCATGTTACAAGGCGAGGACGCGTAGTGCTCCTGACTACAACCATAACCCGGTTGGCAGAGTCCCGGTCTTGCGACCATTTGAACCGTATTGGGAGAACCCAGGTTCGGACCCTCGTTACTCTCGGGGTTGGTAGGATTTAGAAAAAATTCTTTTTTCGTGTTGTAGATGTTGTCGTGTTGCCGCCGCAGTATTGTTCACGTTGTCGCGTTGCTGCCGCTGTAGGGATCACGTCTGGAAAGGATTTTGTGATTGTGACGTTGTTATTTTCTTGTCTTTCTCTGTAAGTTGTCATTTGTCTTTATTTTTTCTTTTTTCTTTTTGTTCTTTTCTTTTTTGTCTTTTTTGCAACTTCTGCCCATGGCGTCCTTCTCTCAGCTCGTCAGCTGTAACAGTCATAGTCATCACCATGACAACTGTTGTGAGAAGGTGCTCGCTGCCGACGAGGTTGGTGATGTTCCGACGAGGCCATGGGTAGGCCTTCACCACGTCGGAACACCCCGTCTGCACGTTGGTGTTGTGGTCTGGGTGTTGATGGACGTTGATGTTGTTGTTGTTGGTGGTGGTGGTGGTGGTGGTGGTGGTGGTGGTGGTGGTGTTGTTGTTGTTGTTGTTGCGGTTGTTGTTGTCGGTCTTGCTGTTGCTGGTGTTGACGGTGTCGGCGGTGAACCTGTTGGATTACCCCTTCGATGGTCTCCAGCGGGTAGCCGTTGGAAAGGAATTCAGTGCCGAGAGTTTCTTGCTCTTTGGCTTTCAACTGGTTAGTGCTGCAATGCGATTCAATCCTCTGTGCCAGGCACGATAATGTAGCACATTTCGTGACATTAGGATGGTGGGAGGCGACATTGATGTATTTTCCCGTGTGGGTTGGCTTCCTGTACACTTGTGTCGACAGATTGGTCTCAGATCTTTGGACCCAGACGCCCAGGAAAGCAATTCCTCCATTTTTCTTCTTCTACCGTGAATTGGATATGTTGTGAGATGGCGTTGGCGGCTGCGAGTACGTGGGGTAGTTCTCCCTTCTTGATGATGGTGAAGGTGTCGTCCACGTACCGCAGCCAGGCCTTGATCCTTTCACCACATGTTGCAAGGAGTTGTCCTTCCAGCCACTCCATAAAAATATCAGCTATCACGGGAGAGAGTGGTGAACCCATGGCCGCACCTCTTGTTTGTCTGTAAAAAGTCTGGTTGTATTGGAGGTATGCGTTGTTGACACAGAATTCGACCAGTTGTACGATGCTGGTCACCGAGAGCAAGGTGTCCCTGTCTGCAGGGTTCTGAGTGTTGAGTTTCTCTTTCAGGATCTCTAGGGTCTTGGCCATCGGAACGTTGGTAAAGAGGCTTTTAACATCGAAACTCGCCACCGCGTGGTCGTTGTCGATATGAAGGTCTGGTATCGTCGTGATGAAATGCCTGGAATTTGCGATGTACGTGTCTGTCTGTCCAGTGAGGGTTCGGAGGATCTTGGCCAGGTGGCGAGCTAGGCGGTGCGTCGGTGAGCCTATCGCAGCCACTATTGGCCGTAGTGGGATTCCTTCTTTGTGAATTTTTGGCAATCCATAAAGATGTGGTGAGGAGCAGGTCCACTTATTGAGGAAAGCTTTTGACTTTTTGTTAAGGTCTCGTCCCGTGTGAGTGGTTGAAGAAGTGAGTTTAGTTTCCGTATTGTCCGGTCTGTGGGGTCTGTCGTCAAGGTGGTGTAGGTGGTAGTGTCGTTAAAATGTTGTTGTATTTTTTGGTCATAATCGTTGGTGTCTAAGAGAACCACTGCCTTTCCCTTGTCCGCTGGCAAGATTTTGATGTTTGTCACCTTGCGTAAACTGGAGAGCGCCCGAGCGTGGACCTTGGAGAGGTTGGAGCCTGGGGGTGGAGAGGAGTGTGTGTACTAGTACTACACACATGCAGTACACTCATACCGCGGTTATCCGGACCCCGAAGTTACCGGCACTTCGCTCTACCGGGCACGCTTTGAGCGAGTTTCAGTGGAAATATCACTATTCTTTTGTCACCTTTTGTGGAAATAGTCACGTCACATGTCATATCCATGCCCTCCCCCCCCCCCCCCCAATCAAATTGTATGTGATTCGGAGATCTGGACATTTCAAAGTAAGTTACGGGCAGTGTCCGGTCCCGGACCGCCCGGATAAACGAGTTATGGGTGTAGTTGGATCAGGTGTATGAGCAAGCTCCACTTATGACCTCTTCCCGTCTGCAGTATACTAGGTGTGTTGATGCTTGTATACTGATGCTGCGGCTTTCAATGTGTTTTTAAATTGAATGCCACCCGCAGGGCCGCGCTCGCCAGCTGCACTCTGCCGGCTTCAAGACTATGCAGGATGTAGCACGCTCCTCTGTCTCTAACCTGCTGGCCAAGCTGGCTCCGATTGGCAAAAAGCAAGTGACACAGATCCTATCTGCTGCCAAGGTAAACGGATGGCCAATTGCCCGGTGTATTGTTACCAATACAATGTAAATCAGTGAATGCAATGTATTGGTCATGTAATTGTATTTTGGGTTTGGGAAGCATGAACAAAGTTAGCAACCCTTTTCTGAAACATGGGGGGGGGGGGGGGTACACAACTGCATGTTTGTTTGTTTGTTTATTTTAGAGTTGAAGAACAAACAGGCAAATTTGCCTCATTACATGATATCGACTATTAAAAAGAAGAATAAAGTACAAAAGGCCAGTAAAGGAAATGATACTGAATAAAATGGACTCAGATGGATCGCATGAGCTGATTGTTTAGTAACTGGTGGTGTTAGTGGACACTATAGTGTAACTTGTAGTTCCTTGGTCCTTTCTCTTTTCTATAAATACTGAATAAAGTGGGTAATAAAGTATAAAAAGGCCAGTAAAGGAAATGATAGTAAAGCGGTCAGTGGTACACAGGGAAAAATCTGATGTGATGTATTCTACATTAAGGACTGAGAACAATTTCCCAAAGACTGATTTCCTAGGCGACTAATAGCACCATTCAGCAGGGTTACCGAAAAGCAGCATTTGCTGGGAGGGATCATCACATGAATCGACGGTACTGGGAGATCTTCCTGATGTCAGGCTGGAGCCTGTTCCACAGTGACACACATTGGAATGAGGCAGAGTGTGTACTAGCGGATGTCTTAGTAACGGGACATTTAAGGGTAGGCGATTTTCCTGACTGCGTGTAGCACGGCCGGCATTGAGAGGACTGAGCATTTTTTTTGAAAGTGCACATCATGCCTACATATAGAATGGAAGAGAACAACAACAACAACAACAACAGCAGCAAGAGAACATAGGGGACTACAAAGGGCGTGTAGGTGCTATAAAGCTGTGCCGGTGAGGTGGAATGCGCTCCCCCGACCAGTGGTCTCGGGACCAAGGCGCATATCACGCACCATGGGGAGAGGGAGAGAAGAAAGGCTGTGCGTGAAAGAGTGAGAGCCAGAGAATGATGGAGAGAGATAGAGAGGTAGAGAGAGAGATGGGGGGGGGGTGAGTGAGTGAGTACCAGATCAAGTTAGGAAGCTATGCCAATGGTTCAGCAGCTGCGTTGCTTGCATGGGGGGGGGGGGCAAGACGGAGAAGGTAAATCGGAGCTGCTGCCAGGCAGAGTAGCGTGCAAGCACTGAATCAGCGAGAAAGGGACCACCAAAAGGAGCAAAAAGGAATGAAGGAAACACAATGCAAAAACATTCTGCTCTGAGGTGTTTCAGGAGCTCTAAGGAGCAAGGTATAGTTCAGTGGGGTGAAGACAAGGTGATCGGTGTGGGAATGGAGAATGGAATACCGTCAAACTTAGCCATGGAATGCTGTCACCCACAAACAATCCCGGCGCATCAGGTGCTGACGTATGCGTGACTTGAAGGCCTTCATTCCCTTCGATGCAGGAGGTTCCGGGATGACTTGCTCAGGAATGTCGTTCCATGCTGCAATGAGGGTGTAGGGGAATGTCCTCAGCAGGTAGTCCGGTGCTGTCCGAGCAAGTGGCCATTGCATCTGGAAAGGGTGTTGAGAAGCTAGTTGTCGGCGGGTTCTAGGAGTAGGTGCAGGCTCTGAAGGTGGCGGGAGGAGGGCTGTCAGCTGGGGTGGGCGCTCAATGTAGTGCAACTTGTACATATAATTATGCAAGCCCTGGGACTGCCCTCCTGAGCTGCAGGCTCTGAAGGATCGTGCCAGGTCCGATGATCCGCATTGCCTTCTCCTGCACCCTGTCATAGCGTGCTAGGTGGGATTGGGCTGCACACATGGTGGCTAGGGGAGAGTACTCCAAGTTGGGCCGAGTGAACCCCTTATGCACTGCAAGGCGGCCCTCATGACCCAGAAGCCAAGCAGCACGGCGCAAGAATCCCAGGCGCTGGCTGGCCTTGACAGTGACAGCATGGATATGGCGCTGGAACCCGAGCTTGGAGTCGAATGTGACTCCAAGCAGCTTCAGACAGTTTCTCGCGATATGGGTTGTAGAATCGCATACTCTGCAAGTGGGAGATTGTCCCTCGTGAAAAACTCGAAATGTGCTCTTGCCGTCGCTGGTACGCACAAAGCTCGGGATGTGCTTGCCACCTGCCAGCTTGAAGGTGGCGAACCGTACACCAGAGGCAACATGTACGCCTTCCCGTACTTTCACCTTGCCATGCCTGATCTGACCTTGCACGGTGCCGTACTGAGAAAGCGTGGCGATCACAACAGCATAAGCAATCCAAAGTGGCACATCGTGTATGTGGAGTTGATTAATAACGAAACCATGCTGGCAAACCTGGTCAGCTAACTGTTTGTCGGCAAAAGTTAATCGGCACTGACCCCCAGTGCTTACCTGGAGAGGCAGGATTTCTTCGGCTTGAATACCATGCTTCTCCAGGCACTGCACGTGTCCAGTGAGTTTGGTGTCGTTCACGGCCGGAAAAGTAACTGTATTTGCTTTCAGCTCGGTGGCTGTCAGCCGTCTCCAGGGATCCTGCCCTTCATGATCTGCTACCTTACATATATGTTGCTGGAGTATTCCTGCTGGGTTGGGGTCCTCCCCACGCATGTCGAATCAGCTGACAAACGCTCACCTGACGGAGCTCGAAAAATGTAAACCGCACTCAACTCGCAAATTTTTGAATTGCATACCGGTAAGCAATGTACTGCATTTATCCTGAAGGCAGCGCCAAGTGTAACCAAGGAGCTTGTGGCAGTACATAACTTCTAGTGAGTGCAAGCGCAATTGGCAATACAGCGGCGCAGATGGGGATGCAGATTGAGCATTGAAAACACAGCGGACTGCACGCTTCAGTAGACGCTCAAGGCGCTTGGGCTGATGTGAGGTGAGCCCAGCAGAGAAGCAGTTGCTAACTTAGCATAAAGGAAGTCAGGAAGGATAAGGGACTTCAGGTACGTGATGCGGCACGGGAGGGGCATGCAGCGCCTGTTTCTGAACAGCACCGCTATTTTACATGCAGCTCACTTGGTGATCTGATTGACCATGGTGGACCACTTAAGGTCTTGTTCCATGTGGACACCAAGATACTTAGCAGTTTCTACCTGTTCCAGTTGAGCTCCAGAACACATAACATTGACGAGAGGATTCACAGTGCGATGGGCTGGGATGAACAAAATCTGTGTCTTACGCTCATTTAGTACCACGTTCCTGCTGGCAAGCCATCTGGTCAAGTGTGTAAGTGCAGAAGACATAATTACGTTCCAGTTGATGTTTGTCCCTGCTACTAATGTAGAGCATGATGTCATCTGCAAACTGAACTGTCCCGCGGCACACCATGCGGTTGAACTTCAGCTGCCACCCAACGGACATAAGGGACAAACAGCAGAGGATCAGGTACGGAACCCTGGGGCACACCACTGCTGTGTTGTGCTGGTTGCCAATGACAACTTTTTGCTGCCGGTCTCTTTGGTAGTCTGCCAACCATTTCAGCGCACTTCCACCCACACCAATACTGATGTTCTCAGCCTCCTTTACAAGCAAAATAAACACATTGTGTTCCACAAACTTTCAGCTCTGAGTCCTATAAACAAACAAAAGCCAAAACAAACAGAACACAGCATAATGTGTACAGAGTCTACATACGTACTTAGTGGGTACTTCACGAAGTAACCAGCAGCAGCAATGGTTAGTAATCCGGTCAAATAAAATAGACAAATGGAAAGTAAAACTTCAACACCACTCATGCAGTATAACATTAACCCGGTACCCGGGCTTCTGCTATTGCAGCAGAAGTATCACCCACAGCCAAGGAAGATGACTGGCTAAAGTCAAGAGCCTTCTGCATGCACGCAGGCACATGATGCAGGACCGCAAACAGGATAACGATATGGCTTGCACCTGATGAAAGACATCAAGTGAGAATATTGCTCTGTCTTGGCTGCCAACAGGGAGGCCACTCTCTTGCAGAGGACTGGTGCTGCCTTGCCCATTCCTCCGCTCGAAGACATCACAGCCGGAACAAAAGTTGAATGCTCAACTTGCCGCACTCTCTTTTCGTAATGCCTTCTTTTTTCCCTCTCGTGTCGATAATACACAGTGGTACGTGGTGCAAACTGATTTGAGCGAGAATAAGGATTAAGAACCCGGACATGAATGAGGTTTCGCTCAAATCGACTGCCCCACAAACCACTGGCACCGACATCAAGCCGTGCATGTTCTTCGACGTTGGCAGTTCGGTATCGTAATTGCTCACCGGTCAGTTGCTGCAGCGTAGGCTCAGTCGACACATTGCTACATACAGTCGACCTACCCTTATAACGATATTTGCGTCAGACCGAGAAATATTGTTATAAGGGTAATATTGTTATAGGGGTAACTGGTTCATTTCATACACATGCGTCATAATACATGGATTTTGTTCATTTTTTACGCTCTCCATAGCATCGTACATGCACATTATGTACATAGCAAGGTGCCCACTGTTGCCCCCATTGCATTTTGTCCTGTCCCAGCCGTTTACCAAGTGAAGCTTGCCCTACCTGGATAGTAGGCTCTACATATTCCCTGCTAGATATTGTTATAAAATGGAAAATGTCGATTGGTCAGCCCATTTTATATCGTTATAGGGGTAATATCGTTATAGCAATATTGTTATAGAGGTAAGGCATTGTATGCACAAGTCAATGGAGTGATTTGGTTTGGCAGAAAAATATCGTTATAAGGGTAATATCGTTATAGAGGTTATCGTTATAAGGGTAGGTCGACTGTACTTGGTTGAGGAGCTGTGCGGTAGTGTCACGGATGGCATTGTGCCATATGGTGGGAACCCTCCGTGAGGGCAGGAGAGCGAATCAGAAACGCTCCGACCTCTCGGCCACATGAATAATGAGTCGGAACCAGCTGTTTCTGTGTTACTCCGCGCGTTCTGTGGATGGAGTTGGCTTCAAAGAGAGAACACAGCAAATAATTGCTAGCTTTGTAATGTGTACAGAAAAAAGGCTATACGGTTTGAGCATGAATCTAGTGAGGATGTTGTGAACACCAAGCTAGGTGAAAGAAGGTGTAGGTAGGTTGCCAGAATGGAAACCGGTACACAGCATGAATTGCTCGTGTACTGAGCTTTCCAATCGCGGCATATTGGCAGAACTGAGGAAGGGGTAAAGTGCATTGGAGGGATACTCTAGTCCGGTTGCTGAAGGCTTTTAAAAGTAGAAAGCTTTTCTGCAGCTGTTGTCCGTAAATTGCCTGGAACATCAGAGTGCTCCGATCTTCTTGGCAGGCTTCAAGTGCTGGTCTATAGAGACAGAGATACTTTGTCGTAGGACACTTTTCAATTCTAACGCCATGGATAGCGACTGTAAGACTGTAAAGGCAGGGGATTGGGCTTTGGGGACGGTGGATAAATAGCAGCTGTGTCTTTGGACTTACGGTAGAATCGTTTCGCACACCGTGGTCAAGGCTGTGTACCTGTGACTGAATAATTATGTCGTTTGCGCGTGTACTTGTAGTACTCGTGCATCGCCATGTGCTGCATACACATGATGTGCGCGTGGCTGTGTGCAACGTACACCTGATGCGTGAATGTACCTTGTATTGTCGTGTTTAGATCGCCCTTCAAGAGAAAGTTGAGAGTCTCCGAGAAGAAGCCGACGATCTGCTGGCCGCTAGCCAGGCTAGCACTTCAAGTGAATGATTGCCATACGTCACAAATCCCCAACCTGCCTCTCTCTCCCTCTCTCTCCCTCTCCCTCCCTCCCCCTCTCTCTCTCCTCTCTCTCTCTCTCTCTCTCTCTCTCTCTCTCTCTCTCTCTCTCTCTCTCTCTCTCTCTCTCTCTCTCTCTCTCTCTCTTCGGTATACTTAACATATTCAACCCACAGTGTTAAAAAATATTTCATAAAATTATTCCTATTGTCATCCGTTCTCACAAAATACACTAGTCCAATCTAGACAGATGTTGATATAATTAATTTTGTCAAGCTGATAGTTTTGATAATAATTGAAGTATATCGGGGATGGGAAGCTCAGTGTTATTCTATCACTTTCCATTCTTGGCCACCAAGAAAAGGAAGTCTACCCATTGAAATTATCATACTGCTCTGGAAGGGAATATGGGGTTGAGAAACCCATCATACTAGTTGGAGCAATGCCACTGTCTGCAGGCCAACGTCTGCATGTAACACTACAGGGTTCGCAGGATCGGGATTGGACTAGCACAGGAACTATACTTCATAGCTCACAGGTTTGCCTTTTCTCCCTCGGATACTGTGTGGGCAAAGGAAGCCTACAGAAGAACGGTATCTGCTTCAGCACACGTCCCCAGCACCATGATAGACATAGTAGATGTTTTCACTGGCATCCTTGATGATGACCAGGTAGCTCTGTCTCGAGAAAATATTGATCCGCACTCGCTTTCACAATAGCTTCGCTCGTCCACATTGAAACGCACACCAAGTCATCAAATCTCTCTGTCTCTCTCCGACGACTCGGAGAAGCCTGGGTTTGTCTTCCTTGCTCTGCATGCGAGCCTTGGGCAAAGTCCTCGCCGGTAACTACTGCCTAGTGCCACCGGACCTGATTGACATCGAATACCACATTGCTGTACCTGTGTTTAGAAACACATGCAGGGTTGATGTCTGTCCATCCAGTTTGCTCTCTCCAGAATCCCATAGTTGGGAAGGAGCATGGGCCCCTCATCTGGAGGGTACTTCTGCATCTACCACAGTTTTCTTGCTATGGGAGGCTCTGAGAGCAGCAACGACGCACTTTTTCATGATCGCCTAGACAAATCCTTGTAACATTATAGTCCTCCGGCTATGTGGCGTGGGCTTCCATTACTGGGAGTCCGCGACGGCAGGATCAGCAGTGTAGCCACTATCAGGACACATAGGCTGAGTGCCACCACCAGAACGCTCTGCAGTGGCTGCAGTGCAGTGCCGCGGCGATGCGTCCGGAATCTCGGCGGAACCGTGCAGCCCTCGCTGTTGTGCTCGTGCAGTTCGTCAGCAGCAAACGGTAGAAAGCACGTCTTGCAGAATTCTATACGTTTGGAGCACAGCTGCATGTGCTTTGCTAGGCGAAACCGTGGCACCTCAACACCGCACCCATTGAAGCAACATTGTACACAGTTCGGGCCAAATGTACACTTCCTCTCGTGCTCCTCTATTCGGTCAAACACAATGCTACCTTCACAGTGACTGCATTTCACCTGCAGCTCGCTGTACATGTTGCGCACTAGTCTGCTGGGTCGTTGCAGGTCCTCTGCGTTGCGCGCTAGGTCGCACCGGCACATCGGGCATTTTCTAGGCGGCTTTGAGCATACACGACGCGCACAAGCTTTGCAAAGCAAGTGCTGGTTATCTGACGAGCATTGCCTTGCGCCGTCCGGTGTAGGCACACAATAGCACACCACACAGCACAGGCTATCGCTAACGGGGTTAGAGAAGCGATCGCGATCCACGGCATCGCTCGTAAACACTTCATCCAGCTGTTCGCTAGCCATTGCTTTCCAGGAAACGACCTTTCTTCATAATAATAATTATTATTGTCCATCGATCGATCGATCGCCTCTCTATATCTCTGCGTTGGACATTTATTTTTTTGGCAAAAATCAGTGCCCGGATATTCCTAGCTCCGAGCACGTGACCGGACCACGGTACAGTACATGTGGTACATGACAGTGCTGGCAACTGAAATCCGACCTCCTGGGCGGCGCGGCGCGCCGCCCAGGAGGTTGGATTTCAGTTACCATCACTGTACATGTAGCTGTAAACAGTAAAGCGGGACAAGGCCAGGGAACTGGGAAGGGTATCAAGCAGCATGTCCCGCTTGCTGAATGATGAGGTTAGGAAACTGCGTCCAAACGTGGCAGGCCGCCCAAGAAAGCCCAGGCACACGTTTGGTCGGTTCCATTGCCAGCTCCTTTTTATTTTTTATTTTTTTATTAAAATACTGAAATACACAGTCCAGCAGAGAACGGAATGGGAAGACAGAATCTAGAACCAAAGGGGAGACATGACAGCGGGAAGCCGGAGCAGCGGGCCTACCTCCCCCGACCATGTGTTTCGGGATCAGCGGCAGGACCAAGCACCCAATACAAAAGTAGAGCGGAAAAAAGAATGAGCAAGTATCACGGTGTGATGTAAGGAAACTGAATTTAATCAGATGGCGAGTTGCCTGGTGTTGCATACAAGTACATGTACATGTACATGAACGCTCCCAGCCTATTGTTAATATACACGACCTACATGTACATGTACATCCGACCCGTTCTCGAGTATGGCAGCCTTGCCCTCTCCAACACCACACAGCAACAGCGGGACACACTGGAGAGAATTCAACACCGTGCTACACGCATCTGCCTTCGGATTCCCCTCTTTGCACCAGCTCACCACAGTTCCATCCTCCATCACGCAAAGCCCACCCTTAGCTCATGACTCCTTGTTAAACAAGTCCTACTAGCATGGGACATCCACCATTAAACCTCCCCACCACACCTGCAACAACCACATCTTGCACCACAACGTCAACACCAACCATACACCCTTCGACAGACAAGGACCTACTCCATCGGACAGGACATGCACACACAAACAGGCACCGAGATTCCCCCATCAACAGTGCCCTCACCCTCTACAACTCACTCCCTATCGACATCACAACCCAACCTCGTAGAAATTCTTTCCGAAACAATGCATCCAGTCTTTTTTTTGAGCAGTACCAGTCCTGTTCCTGCTCCGCGCATCCCCCTGGTTTCTGATATCTCGAGCGTGTACTTAACTATCTCGATCACCCCTGCAAACGTTATTGCCCCCGCTTGTTTTTCATGATCCATTGCTTCTTGCCTCCCCGGTTATTTTCCATCTACATGTAGCTGTTTCTGGCTAGTATCAGTTCTATCACACTTATCAATCGTCCTTATTGGCGTCACGCCATCGTGGAATAAAAGAATAATAATATACATGACTGTATGGTCCGGTGTCTAATAATAATAATAATTCGCGGGATTCGCGTTGGCATCGCTTGAATGTTCAGAAACACACAAACTAGCCTTCGCTTCCGCAGGCCACCACTATGCCTATGCCTTGCACACCTGAGTGGCGAATGCAGACCTCACAAGTGAGTCAGGGGAGAGTAGGTGAGTCTCTCAACCAATCCGCAATCGGGCGTGTAACGGCCCATAACCCTGTAAACTGCATCCTTGTTACCCTCACTCCGAGCTGTGAGTACCCAGTTGACCGTGGGTGTCGGCGCAGTTCACCACGCGTAAAAAGTCTTTACTCACGTAAAAAGTCTTTACACGCTCCCTGCTACCACTGTACCAGCGCGGTGTCTACTCATGATAATACAGCCCGGGTGGAGAAAAAGCTGACTAATTATCTCAAGAAACTAAAACAGAACTAACTTAGAAGGAGAAGAGCTCGTTGGAGCATCCATCCTCAAATTTAAAACAGAGTAAACAAATATCAGAACATGAGTTTTCATTATGCGACCGATTGGTTCTGTCCGCCCACGGCTTATGGTTCACCGAAAATTCATAAATCGAACTGTCCATTGCGCCCCATACTATCGATGGTGGCAGCTCCTCAATAATTATAATAATCTCTAAATGGTTGTGCGTGTGGCTAGACAACGTTTAGAAGTTCTATTGCAAGCACACTGTTAAAGATACGTTTGAATTCATCGACATCATACGCTCTCACCCAGTTCCGGCCAACGCGCATATGAGTTCGTTTGATGTTGTAAGTTTGTTTACAAACGTCCCACTTGAGGAAACGATCAATATTTGCCTTGATGTGCTATACGGTAATGATGAAGTTGACACTCCGTGGATGTCTGAGTCGGCGTTCCAGGAACTCGTGTTGCTCGTTACGACCGGTGTTGAGTTTTCGTTCAATGATGTTATGTATAGACAAATTATTAGTTGATGGTGTCGCTATGGGGTCACCGTTAGGTCCAGTCTCAGCGAATGACCATTCAATGTGGTTGTTGGTTATTGCGAGTCCTTGATTGCCGTGTCGTCCTGGCCCGCGTTATACTGCCGTTATATTGTGGACGACTCGTTCACATATTTCGACACTCTTGAGGGGAGTCAGGCCTTCCTTGATATTCTGAATGGCTTACACCCATCCATATGGTTTACTTGTGAACACGAACAAGAGTACAAGTAATTAGTTGTCCTTCCTAGATGTTCTTGTCCAGAAGTCTAGTCAGGGCACAGTAACATCTGTTTACAGAAAGCCAACTTTTACCGGCCAATACAATCATAATGTTCGATTCGTATTGTTCATATCAATACAAGATAAACTTAATGCGCAACTTAGTGGATAGAGCGAAACGTGTTTGCTCCCCGGCGAAACTTGCGGAAGAACTTGACTTCGTGAAGTCAGTGTTTCTCGAGAACGAATATCCCTAAGAACTACTAAATAAACCAATGAACAAAAGAATACAACAGAATGAAGTACAGTTTGGCCCTGAGAAACGTCCAGTGTATTTATCTCTCCCGTGGAAAGGGAACGTGCCATTATCTACAATGTACATGTAATTGTATGTGCCGTGCAGTCCTGACAATAGTCAAACAAACCTACTTCGCGGCGCACTTCGTTCCTGTGTTCACAACGGTACGTGCGTTCATGGTGAGGAGGGATGTCCTACCAACCCAACTTACTTCTAAAGACGTAGTGCCGATGACAATGTGGTACAGTAGTCGGCACGTTGGTAGGACCCTTCAACATCGGAACGCATGTATCAAGCAGCATGTTCCCCTTCACATGTTGACTGGTTCAGCACGGGCACTGCGTCCCAAGCGTGGCAGATCACCCAAGAATCCGGAACCACAGCCATTGCTGGTACAATTGCTACCACCAGCGAGGGCATCCTCATTACCTACGACCGAATGCACTGGACCCGTGGCCAGAAACAGGTCCGGAGTCTCGCTAGCTGAGTGATGGAGTACTAGTACTGTAGTAGCTGCATGTACATGTACATGTTGATCTACATCGAATGCACCGGAGCTCCTTAGACACAACGCAAGACACTTTAACAACACAAGAGTGTACCCAGCAGCATGCAGCTCTAGCTCTAGTCGCTGCCAAACGACGAAAATTTCATGATGAGTTGGATCCAGTACCGCCACCA